GCATACCACTTGTGAGTTAACATGGTTGAAACATTTGTTGGAAGAACTTGGATTTGAACACACTTCACCGATGGAACTGGTATGTGATAATCAAGCAGCACTTCACATTGCATCCAACCCAGTCTTCCATGAGAGAACGAAGCACATTGAAGTTGACTGTCACTTTATTCGAGAAAAATTGTTGCAGAAGCAGATTGAGACTAAATATGTAAACTCAGCTGATCAGTTAGCTGATATATTTACTAAACCGTTTGGGGGCTCAAGGATAAAGTACATTTGTAACAAGCTTGGAGCACACAATATGCTCCATCTTGAGGGGGAGTGTTAAAGGGTATTTAGGTCTTTTATGTAATACCTAGGGTTTTCTAAGGTTTTCCTAACTCTTATTATAAATAGTGGGACATGCTAACACTATTGTTAAGCCTTCTTACTCTTTTACTTTAACAGTATTCAATATTGTATCAAAGAGATATAGATCCTAGATTCCACTCTTTCTATCACCCATTTATGAACATCCAATGTAGTGAGTCTTCAAATAGAAAAGGAATGTGGACTGCTCATGAGTAGGTGTGTTCAACGTTTTTGTTGGGACCCTATTAGTTGTATGTACTCTGATTCCTCCTTTTGGCCTTAGGTACTATCGTTCCCCAAAGTGATGTACCCCGCCCCCACCACTCTTTACCAAAAGTTTATGAGTGCATCCTGGTACGATCGATGCAACTAAATATAAATAAATTATATCTTCTCTAATAGCTTAAAGTTTTAGATGAGATGGTGATTTAGTTTTATTAGTTGACTCTTCTTGGTCTTCTAGTATTGTGGTTTGCTGTAACTGTAAATAGAAAAATTTCTGTTTGGAACTTCATCTGACATGCTGTCAATCAGTTTTTGTCTAGAATTAATTAATTCCTCCATAGAATAACATAATTTCACATGGTTCTCATGCTCATTTCTCTGATCTAGTTATTTCTATTATGACAGCCAAATCTCTATACTCTTGTTATCACACTGAAAGATGCATCAGGGCTTATAATTGATTGCGAGTCATGCCAAGTAGGCTTTCGACAAATAGCCAAAGCACCAAAACAGTTGCTTGTCAATGGACAACCAGTAATGATAAGAGGGGTGAACAGGCATGAACACCATCCACGCCTTGGGAAGACAAACTTGGAGTCCTGTATGGTTCAGGTGAGACTAAATTCTTTCTCCTTGTTTGTGACTGCTTCATGCATTTTCATAATTTTGTTCTATCCCTCTGATTTCATGCATGTGTTTTGTTATTATTCTTGTAGGATTTGGTTTTAATGAAGCAACACAATATAAATGCTGTTAGAAACAGTCATTACCCTCAACATCAACGATGGTATGAGTTGTGCGATCTGTTTGGCATGTACATGATTGATGAAGCCAATATTGAGACACATGGTTTTCATCTTTCCCGTTATATAAAGCACCCTACACTCGAGCCAAGTTGGGCTTCTTCAATGCTAGATAGAGTCGTAGGAATGGTTGAGCGGGATAAAAATCATGCATGCATCATTGCCTGGTCATTAGGAAATGAGGCAAGCTATGGACCTAATCATGCTGCACTTTCTGGTACGTATACATTATCTATAAGGTTTTCTTTTCTTATTTCTTTTTGGCTTGACCTGACCTTATTTTAATTTAACTAAAACGCCCAAATGCATTGTCTTATATTTATGCATGAACGTCATGAAACTTGATCTGTCAGGAATAAGCAATAAACTAATATTAAATGTGTTACTAATGAAGTTTATATTTTCAATTCCTAAGCTCTACTTTGGAAATTACATAATCCTTGCATAGTGTTAGGATGCTAAACTGCTAAACTACTAAATCTATTATGTGATCATTAAAGTTATAATGGCTGTTAAATGTGTTGCATAGTTGTGAGAGGTTGTTATTGTTGCCTGTCACACTGTATTATGGTATACCGAGTAACTAAAGTTGTAGGAAGATTTTAAAAACTATATTAGAGGAAGCAGACATATTAATCTAATTGTAATTGAAAGAAAACAATCAATTCTTCTTGTAAATTATACCACGTTTTATAACATCTGTGTTCATATTTATTTTATATGGTCATAAATTTGACCATTTGTAGAAGCTGCTGAAACTGCTTCTGCAAGTGTTTTTTGTCATATGGTCTCTCATTTGTCGCAAAATATATTTCAGGTTGGATACGAGGAAAAGACTCGTCAAGGTTTGTACACTACGAAGGTGGAGGGTCTAGGACATCTTCAACCGATATTGTGTGCCCTATGTACATGCGTGTTTGGGATATAGTTAAGATAGCTGAAGATCCTGCAGAAATACGGCCATTGATACTGTGCGAGTATGTTATTGAGTTATCATTGGTTCTCATCAGTGACGTTATCACTAATTTCTGTCCTAAACCTTTTTGTATTTGCAATTTGAGCTACTGACAAAAGCTTGGCTAAAAATTGACAGGTATTCACATGCAATGGGAAACAGCAATGGAAATATCCACGAGTACTGGGAAGCAATTGATAGCACATTTGGTCTCCAAGGAGGATTTATCTGGGATTGGGTTGATCAGGTTTGAATCTTGTAAAGACACAAAAATATTAATTATCGATACAGTTATAAATGAATATACTTATCACTTCTCTAAAAGCTTAAGCTTTTAGATTAGGGTGTTCATCATGATATTTAAGCAAACAAAGATCCTGAGTTCAAGTCTTGATCCCACCCATTTTAAAAAATTTCACGTGTCAAGCCTTTGAAGTGCAAATGAGTACAACTTGCAAGTGAGATAATATTAAGGATATCATTCAAATAAATTAATTCATCCAAGCTTTTAGATGATTTCTTTGAACACTATTTTTCAACAAGAAATAGAAAAAGAATATCGAAACCCCTTTTCTTTCTTCAGTTTGATCCTTATATTCTTCTTTTGTTGTTTTCCTACAATGGGGCTTCACTTTATGTAGTAAATCTTAGCCACTTCCCTTTCTATTCATTCCCGCCGTGAGACTTCACAACATCAGATGGGTATGCCACACCAAATACTCCCCTTCAGACTTGTATCGGGGCTCATCCAAGCTTGTATTGATTTTGTGAAGTTCATATTTCTCCATAAGCAAAGTTGTTCTTATAGGTATGAATAATCTTAAGACTTAATAGTTACTTCCAACACATCACATATCCGATTATACCTTACTTCATTAGTTTTTAATTTACACCCCTCTGCTGTTATGATATACTCAGCTTCTATGGTCGATAAAGAATGGAAATTTTGTAGTTTGGACCACTAATATAATAGTTCCTGTGAAAAGGTCAAGATGTAGACTAAGGTGGATTTTCTTGAACCAATATAACCTTCATATCTGCATCCAAAGAGCCTACTGACATCGTTTTTAAATCCCAACACATAAGCACCTTTTGGAAGTGTTTCGTGGATATATTGAGTAAGCATTTAATTGCAACCTAATTATCCATACCACGATTGAAAAGGAATCTATTCAAAACACAAATTCCATAGGCAATGTCTACCTTAATGCATTCCGTAGAATGCAATTAAACTTGATTGTTGATGCATGAGAAATTCTGTCATTTTGTCATTTTCCTCGTCACTTGATGAACACTGTTTACTTTATCCACATTGAAGCTTTCGAGAACCTTTCAATCTCCCTTGTGATAATCAAAGCTTTTTGACCTTTTGAGTTTACCAATTTTTTGGTGGTATTGTTCACCGCTTGTCCCGTTGTGCAACCTTGAATGTAGAGCGCTAGGTCTATTTATTTGGAGCCTTAACCAAATTTTTTGCATTGTTGCCCACCGTTAGACTGTAGAGCGATTTCGAGCTAATCAATTCTTTGATTTTGTTGCTCACTGGTAGAGCGTAGTGCGATTTTGAGCTAACTAATTTTTTAGTAGTGTTGCTCACCGCTAAACCATAGAGCGAGTTAGAGCTAATCAATTTTTTGGTATTGTTGCACATCACTAGATTGTAGAGCGATTTCGAGCTAACCGGTTTTTTTGTATTGTTGCTCACCGCTTAACCCTTCAGACGATTTTGACGTGTTGAGCGTCTGTCCAGTGATTTTGAGCATTAACCAATTTTTTAGTTTTGAAGCTCACCACTAAGACTGTAGAGCGATTTTGAACTTATAATCCATTTTTGGTTTTGTTACTCACTGCTAGCCCCTCAGATGATTTTGATGCGTTTGAAGAAATTTTAAGCCACGATTTGTACAAAAAATCTTTTTTTTGATAGATAGTCAACAATTTTATTAATCAAAGAAGAATACACATTATCAACACCACAGCGTCTATAAAAAAAATTTTTTTTTTTTTTGATAGATAATCGTAAAATTCTATTAATCAAAGAAGAATACACAGGAAGTGTATAATCAACTTAAAAAAGAAAGAAAAGACATGAAGTTAGGTAGCCCCTCTATAGGAATACTAGTCTTGGCATTAAATCAACTATACAAAGTCAGTTAAAAGAATTCTTAAATTTGCTCTGTGATCTGTGTTTGGTCTTCAAAATATTGGTTATTCCTCTCCCTCCACACACCAAATAATGCATCTCGGGATAAGATTTCTTACAAACTTTCTATCCTTATCCCGAAGCTTTCTTCTCCATGCCCGTAACACGTCCTCTATACTTCTAAATAACACACAATCTATATGTTGAGAGGCAAGAATATTATTCCACAACCAACGAACACCGTCACAGTGAATGAACAAGTGATCATGCATCTCCCCATCACTCCTACACATATAGCACCACTCGGTTACATAAAAGCCTTTTCTTTGGAGATTATCCATCGTTAATGCATGTCCCCTCACGACCGCCCACAGTAAAAATGTCACCCTGGAGGCAATTAATTCATACAAAAAATCTCAACGATTGTAGATCAAGTCCATTTATTTAGATAAAGCTTACTTAGATTTAAGGACTCAGCAGACATTGGGATGTCCCAATAAGGTTGGCTCTTAGCACCCTCACTGTTTGCTGCCGTGCGAACTTTTCATTGAACAATGCTATTATTTACAAGAGGCTAGAACTAGTAGCCGTCGTTACATTAGGAAAATCAATAAACCTTCTAGCAACCATATTTACAAGGAAAATAGAAAGACATCCTAATTAAACTTTTTTTTTTTCACACTCACCACTAGGATGCTCATATCTAGCTCTTTGGAGGCTCTAAACCCAACATCATGACTGGTGGATAGCTTTTATGCTATAGACATAGCACTTTCTCTAATATTGTTGATCGCCCCTTGCACATCCTACCCTTTAACTTGTTGTAAATTGAAGGGATGGCTCCGACAGTGTTTAATAGTTGTCGATTGTAGATTGCATTATATGCCATGAGAGTTTTGACAACCAAAAAGTTCGTCAGAATCACCACACTCGTCGGGTAAGTGCTTAGCATCATTGGAAGCTCTACAGTTCCTTTTGTTATCACTGTTGCCCTTCCAAAACCTTGTAGAGGGGTGGTCACGATTTTCAATTTTCTGGAAAGATTTTCAAGCCCAAAAATGCCTCCCAAGTAAGAACATTCGTTGCACTACCACCGTCGACCAGTATCCTCTTGACATCGAAATCCTTTATGTCACCGACAACCACCAAGGCATCGTTATGGGGGCTTGCTACACCGATCAAATCTTCACCAAAAGTGATGTTTTGATTGAATCTTGTCTTCTTCTGAATAGAGCAGACTCCAACAGAGCATGCATAGCTCTTTCTAACTGAATTTGAATCTCTGCCGTCGCTTCCAACCGATGATCACATTTATTACCCCAGCCCTAGATGAGGGACGATCATCAACCTTTTCCTTACCCCGATCATGCTTTACGTACTTAGTCAAGAAACCTTGTCTCAAAAGGCGCTCAATCTCTTCTTTCAGGTGTGCAATTTTCAGTGTCATGTCCATGGTCTTTATGAAAGTGACAATTCTTGCCTTTATCCCTCTTGCTAGCAAACGCGGCCATTGGTTTTGACTAATCAAGCTTTTTCATGTCTAGTATCTCCATTAGTAATTTAGCACGCGGGGTATTCAAAGGAGTGATGGCTTTTTCTCGCCTTTGCCCGGTCGACTGCTCTGGTGCATACCCCTTTCTTACGTGCTCATTTTTCGGCTTATTTCTATCAATGGCTTTTCGCTCATCATGTAACTTTCTCTTATGAGTTCTAGCTCCCACCCTTCTCGAAGGTTTTTCATGACCCTCTCAGCTTCCTCTGCATCTGCATACTCGTCTCCCTTTTTCAAAAAGTCATGCATCGATTTCGAGGGGTTTTTTGAAAGTGACATCTTAAATGCTCGGTTTCGTGTCTCGTTCATCAATGTAGTAACCACAGCATACATTTGAAGGTCCTTTATGCAAAGTACTAAATCTGGCTAAGTAATCTTGCAAATGCTCATCTTTCTCCTAGACAAGCCGCATCAAACCGATGACGAGGTCTTCTTCTTCCTTTCTCTTGTTATTATAGAAATAGGCTACAAAGCTCCTGGAGAGCTCGTCAAAGGTTCTGATAGATCGAGGTGCCAGAGTTGCTACCCAATCCCTAGCTTCTTTCCTTAGTGTCGGTGGAATGGATTGACACATCACTGCGTCTGGGGTTGCATATAGTCTCATTAAATCAACAAAGGTCAGTAGGTGGTCAAGCGGATTTATGACTCCGTCATATGCCTATATCATCGGCTGTTTAAAGCCTTTTGGTAGAGGGATTGCCATGATCTCGGGTGCGAATTGGTCTTCTTCCAAAACCATCTGTATGCGTCTATCATTTCTCTTAGACAATGCATATCTATCTTTTGGGCCATCATTTCTTCCATTTTATGTTCCAAGTCTACCACATGATGAAGAACCTGCAGATTTGTGACTTCGTGAACCCCTAAGTTTGCTACTATTGGCTGAATAACCCGGGGGCAACTGTCGGTGCTGCTTGAGGCGGTTGTTCGCACGTAACCTCGGACGAGTTTTGAGGTAGGACAGTGGGTCTTTGAGTTTGGCTTTGCTAGAGAGTCATCATGGCCGCCAACTGGCGGGTTTTGAGGCGGCGACGGCGGGTCTTGACCTTTGGCGATAGATTCTGACTCCGCCTTATTTCCAACCAAGTGTGTATCACTCTTAGTTTGTCTTCTTGATATTGCTTTTATGTTCAGTGGTTTCTCACAGACGATGCCAATGAAATAATATTGTAAGGAAGCTTCTATTATTCCAATGACCGTTGGACTTCTTTAGCGGAGCAAGGAAGCTTCTATTGTTCCAATGAGCAATTGACCACCTGCAAAAAGAGGCTAGGGCTTTCCCCCCGTTGTACCTCCAGCGTGAGAATTAGTAATGAGGTTATGAATGAAATGACTTAAGGAAATAGAGAAAAATATGTTGAGCAAAACCAAACCCCCATAGCTGGCACGCCTTTGGAGTATTTATAAGTGTTTGATGTCGTGTAACCGCCATACGGTTATTGTCCACGTGTTTAGTGTAGCATGTCCATCCATCGGACATTTTTCACCGATGTCCTGAATGGATGGTTTTCGCCAACTAAACGGTTAGTGGGATCAATGATAACCGTCAAGTAGCTATCAATCAACTAAAAAAGATGTTTAGACAGTCGAGAGATGTGATGGTCGATCTGTCATAGTGAGAGTCGTCTCGCATAACATAATTCAAGATAGCATAGCGATAGTTGGTCTACCATAGTGGCAGTTAGGGTAGCATAACGGGAAGTTGATCTACCATGATGACAGTCGGGCTAGCATAGCGCTAGTTGGTCTACCATGGTGATAGTTGGGTTAGCATATCGGTAGTCGCTTTACCAAGGTGGCATCAGACTAGTATAGCGGTAGTCGCTCTAGTGTCAATCGAGCTAGCATAGCGGTAGTCGCTCTACCATAGCGATGGTCGGGCCAACATAGTGTAAGTTGTCTAGCTAATTACCTTAACTTGGTTTGCCATCGTAATCAATCTTTTATATCACACATCAGCAGGTAGACTCGAGCACGTGCGAGTATGACAATTTAACGGCTCTTATTGATGGAAAACAGTGAAAATGATTAATTTTCTACAGATATTTTTTAAGTGGGACATAGAAGCCAAGGAAAAAAGAATTGGGTGGTTAAGAAAATTGAAGTGTTATATAGATCTGACAACTCTTTCATTGCTCCCTCTATGTGCTATTTATTCCCCTTTCGCTTTTGGAGTCTTGTATGTGGTTAAGAAGATTAAAGATTTTGCATTCTACATAGGGATTATGGAAGCCAGGTGCAGATGGTAGCAAACATTGGGCATATGGAGGCGATTTTGGGGATACCCCTAATGATCTGAACTTTTGCCTCAATGGTATCACATGGCCAGATCGAAGTCCTCATCCTGCTCTACATGGTAAGATGAATATTAATCTTTATAGAGTATTACAATTATCATCAGCATATGAGTATTGTTTATTCTATTGAACGTAATTTTCAGAGGTAAAGTTTGTGCACCAACCAATCAAAGTCTCACTCAAAGAAGACATAGTCAAGGTACCCTCGTAAATTTCAGGCGAATTCCCTTTTCCTTTTCCACATCTGTTGAAGTATTGAGAGGTGGAGTTACTTTGCAGATTACAAACACACACTTCTTTTTAACAACAGAAACATTAAAGTTCAACTGGGTGATTCATGGCGATGGACGTGAACTTGGTTCTGGAAACCTCAACATACCAACAATAGAACCTCAGAAAAGTTACAATATAAAATTGGAGTCTGGCCCATGGTACTCTCTATGGACCTCATCGGAGGACATGGAAATCTTTTTGACAATAACTGTAAAGCTTTCGTGCTCGACTCGTTGGGCTGAATCTGGTCATGTAATTTCATCTGCACAAGTCCAGTTGCCAGCAAAACAAGAATTTGTTCCTCGTGTATGTATTCTTACTGTAGTTGAAGTTAATTTCCCGTAATATTTTTTTTCTAGAATTACATTTTTTGCAAATATTGTCATTTCAGAGCATTCGAGCCATGAATGCAGCTTTTTCCACCGAAGTTCTGGATGATACTATAAAACTCAGTCGGCAGAACCTGTGGGAGATCAAATTTAAAAAACAAACCGGGGCCATTGAAAGCTGGAAGGTAACTTGTGATATTAGGTTTCCAATAAACGAGATTGTTTATGGTAGAACAAATATTATTGTATAGTACATTTTAAAGATCAACATGAAAAACGTGTCAATATAATTTTATTCAAATTTTTATTGATGCACCGGAAAATACTAGGTGGACGGAATACCGGTTATGCACAATGGTATACTACCATGCTTTTGGAGAGCGCCGATAGATAATGACAAAGGAGGAGAGGGACAAAGTTACATTTCCAAGTGGAAAGCTGCAAATTTAAATAATCTGTCATTCATTACTGAAACCTGCTCTGTCCTAAATGTGACTGATAATCAAGTGAAAATTGCAGTAGTATATCTTTGCATTCCAGAAGGTGCTTCACAATCAGAAAAATCTAATGCCCTCTTTAAGGTTGATATGATTTACTCAATTTATGGTTCGGGTGACGTTATATTGGAATGTAGCGTAAATCCAAGTTCTGATTTGCCACCCTTGCCTCGTGTTGGGGTTGAATTTCACTTGGAAAAATCAATGGACCTTATCAAGTGGTACGGGAGGGGACCATTTGAATGTTATCCAGATCGAAAAGCTGCTGCCCATGTTGGGGTGTATGAGCAGAATGTGGGCGAGATGCATGAGCCTTATATTGTTCCCGGGGAATGTTCGGGCAGGTCAGATGTGAGGTGGGTGACATTTCAAAACAAGGATGGTCATGGAATTTATGCTTCGATGTATGGAAGTTCTCCACACATGCAAATGAATGCAAGTTACTACAGCACGGCCGAGCTTGAACGCGCTACTCATATTGAGGAGCTTGTGAAGGGAGATAACATTGAGGTATCTTTTGCCCGTTATTTTTGTTTTCGTCTGTCTTTTCTTTGAAGTTATAGAGTAGGCAAAATCGCACTATTAATTGCCAACCTTCTCAACATTTCATCTTAGTTGCATAATTAGTCTCCCAACAATGAAAAACATCCAACTTTCAGTTAAATAGTCATGTGGCTGTCGTGGAAAAAATGGCCCTCCTAGCACCACTCAAGTTGGGAATAAAATCTAGCTTTGGAAAGCAGGGCATGTGTGGGTCACACGACAAATTTATGGACATTGATAGTTTCCGTGATTGGGACTAATAGTGCAACAGACTAGTGAAATGTGTGGGACCAGCTTGCTACTCAACGGGGTTTTGTTAGGGACTAATGGTACAACGTTCCATATTAAATATTTGGGCAAACTACAACAAATTGAATTTCCATTTCTTTATGTTTTGATTTAGGTGCATCTCGACTACAAGCATATGGGTATAGGCGGAGACGATAGCTGGTCGCCTTGTGTCCATGACAAATATCTCGTGCCTCCTGTACCATACTCTTTCTCTATCAGATTGTCTCCAATAACTGCAGCAAACTCAGGTTTTGACATCTTCAGATCCCAGGTTCAGAAGAAATGAGATGTGACGTACGGTTTTTATGGGACGTCGTTTTCCCTCAATGCCATGATCCTCGTGATAACTTGTGTAATAAGAAGATTATAGTAGAAGAATAAATGGAAGGTGTGAGAGCAGCTAAAGTGCATTTATTTGCTTTCTTGGACATGGAATAAGGATTCTGCTGTATGTATGATCTAATCTATTGCGACTTTCTGGAAACCGTTGTGTTACAAGTGCATCCCAAACCCTATTCCCAACCTCCCTGACGCATGACTGAGAGGTCGATTTTGACAAAGTTAAAATTGATTTTTAAATATCGTAGTTTCTGTTTTTTCTTTAAAAATGAAAACAAAGCCATCTCGATGCATTTAAAACCTGACGTAATTTCTATGCACATGAAGATCGTTTTGAAAATGAATCATCTCAATTTCAAGTTTTTATGAGTCATAGACTTGCAACAATATACTAGCATCTTCGACCAATGCATTCATGGATTGAAATTTAAGTGGCATTTAAATAGAAAGATTTTCGATCCGAGTACTATTAATTTCTAATAACTGGGCAGTTTATTCAAATTTTATATCCAATATGTTCGGTCTATAATTCAAATTGCATTTCTAATATTTGATAGTGTTCTAAAAATAGTAAAGTATAGTTAGACAACATACCAAGTTTAGTGATTTGGATATGAAGTAGAAAAGAGAAAGAAATATTAAAATATGGCGACTCACTCTTCTAAAAAAAATATGAATTTAGATAATTTTCTCTTATAATAAACAAAAGTTAGTCACATTTTAGTGGACTTGGAGATGTGGTAGTAAAAATGGAGACGAGTAGGTCACAACATAGCTGTGGGCCGGCTATGTTGGTCATTTCCATTTCCCAAAAACTTGGGCTCAGACCCATTTCAAAAAGTTGATCAATAAACCCATTTTTACTAAGGGCCCCTTACTTAAAGCGTAAACAAACTCAATGGTGTGTGGATTAATACTTATAAAAAAGGGAAAAAATTCATTTCTAGGACTTACCATATACTACTTCAAAAATAAGAAAACAACTTTCAAATTTCTAAAATCAAATATTTAACACACACACACACACACACACAATATAATTAACCCACCCCACCTCACCTTGCCGTGATTTCTCCTGCCCATCACTTCGCCGTCGTCACCGGAAAAAGAAGCCGGTCGAAATTTCTCGTTTTGTAAGTATCCATCGCTCTGCCCACCGACATTTGACTTTCGTTTTTCTCTGAATCGAAGACGACGATTGGAGGCGAAAACTTAACGGGAAGTACAACACTCCTCCATCTCGACCGGAGCTACTTGCTGGTGAAAATTTGTACTCTTAAACGTCATCCATCGCGCAGCAAACATTATGTAAGCCAATTTGGTATCCAATTTCTTTGAAGTTACTGTTGTCGAATAATACATAGGGCTGAACATTTTACAGTGGTTTCTAGCTGTTGTACACATTATGTAATTTTCATTTCGTCTTGTGCAGTATGCCAGGGAAGAACTTCGGCGTTTGTCACAGTTGTCGTGAGAAGGGTCACTACTTTTCTGATTGCTCGAAAAAACAGAGATGCCCTTGGTGTAAAATCGGCTTTGTGAAGTGCTTTGAGGTCGAGAAGGAGACAGAAAACAAGGGAAAATTGTTCAATTGCTGCAGTGCGAAATGTAAATATTGGGAGTGGGTTGACAAGGGAGAATCAACCTGCGGATCAAGTAGCGTTATCATGAACGCGAATAATCATGCTGCAGTCCAACAAGATGAACACATCTCTCGGCTATTCCAAACTCGTTGTACGGTATCTGAAGAACAGGCCCTGGAGATTCAATTCACCGTGACAATACGCAAGGCCAATGAAAGCACGGAACTGGATAAAAAAGGGAAGAGACCGGCATGATCTGTAGTTATGTAGTATGTGTCTTGTTAGGTGCAGTGTGTTGTGTTATCTGGAGTTGGTGCAGTGTTTTGGTGCATTGCGTTGTGTCATGTGGAGTTGGCGAAGAGTTAGGTGTTTAGTTAGGTGACTGTGGAGTTGGTGTTTAGTTAGGTGACTGTAATATATGCTAAAGATGTTAGTATGGGGAATTAGGTGCAGTTGGTGTTCTTGTGAATCAGTTGTATATCAGTTAATGTGAATGAAAACATTTTGTTAATTCACTACTTGTGTTGATTTAAAAACTGGTGTTGCTGGTGTTAATTCACTGCTTGTGTCAATTCAGAAACTGTAAGATGTACAGGAAGGGAAAAAGTGGATAATGAATACAGGAAGGGAAAAAAAGCATAATGAATACAAGAAGGGAAACAAAACATCATTTCATTAACTGCAAGAGAGCTACAAAATGCATCCATTGTAACTTCATAACCTATTACACTTTTTTAACTAAGAGAGCAAAAATTATATTCAAGGAAGCTACAAAATGCTTCAATAGTAACTTCATAACCTATTACACTTCTCTAACAGAGCAAAAATTATATTCAAAAATTATATTCAAGGGAGCTACAAAATGCATCCATTGTATCGGCACAACCTATTTACAAGATGCTTGGGCCTCCTAAACGATGTTGCTGCTTCCATTGCTACAGAACATGTTTGCGTCACTTTGGTCGGGTTTGCTTAGATAACAGAATGGCATTTCGTTTCCTACTATGAAAATAATAAATTTGTTAAGGAAAACTAGAGTATGATTTGAAATAAGTTACGTGTGATTAATACATACCATGATCATGTGCGATGGGCGCAACCTCTCCCAGAGTACTTAGGCCTACCTTCTGTCCCCTTCCCTTGGCTAAAGTTCGATGTGGCTGCATAATCAACAGATAATAAGAACACATATGCACCGTAATAACAAAAAATAACTATTCTATTTGTACATCGTAATACCTTCGCTTTACGAGATACTACTTCCAAAGGGCTTTTCTTTCTGAGTTTCTTCGGTGCACCTTTTCTCTTTGAGCATTTTGGATCTTGTATACCTACACTACTGCTACGTTGTGACGCTCCACCCTCCAACGCTATCTGAAATACATGTTGGGACACGTCATTACTCCCACAACTCAAACTCGTCATCATTGATTGTTTTTTGCATTCTATCCACTCTAGTACGTGACGGGTGTCATCGTCGTTCCCGGTTGCCATGTCCGCAAGTGAACCAAATGATTGACACATTTTGTCATATCTCAACTGGGCAGGGGTACCACTCAAACCATCATAATTCACTGCGATTTTTGTGTGGGCTCTACTAATATCTCTTCTCCATCTCCGTAATATATAGGTATCTGGTAATGCAGTGACGTTATTACGAATAAGTACAGCGATCGCGTGCCTGCAAACTATACCGCGAAACTCGAACAAGTGGCAACTGCAAACTATTTCACATCTCTGTCTTTCAAATGTCACAAGAAACTTTTGTTTCTTAACCCGAGTCTCAAGTATGATGTCCTCCAATACCTCATATGTTATCCCCGAATAGCCCTCGGACGAAGACATGAGGTCGCAATAAACCTTTCCAACAAATTCCTCCTGAACTTCCCGAAATTTTGAAATGGTATAAACTCTTTGAAACTGCTTCTCCAACTCGTACTTCGTTGCAGATGGCAACATTTGCGAGTATGATTTAAAATCTGCTTGAAACTCATTTTCTACCTTTTTTCTCAATGCTCTCTCGTACTGTTCAACAAATTGTTTCAAGGACGTCTTAGAGTGCACATAACCATCAAAAAAAGCATTCATACTCTCACTGCGCTGAGTTGTTGACATGCCCGCCCAGAAGCTGCTCTTTAAAAAGCAAGGTACCCAACGCCCTCTGTTCTCAAACAATCCCGACAACCACTCATTGCCATGCAAGGAATAGCGGTCTACCATCGCTCTCCAACCATCTTCGAATTCGTGAACAGTTTGAGAATCATAAACCAATACATGTATAGCCGAAAATATCTCAAGCTTCTCGACGTGGTATCCAAACTTCTCTGGCAACTTCTTCAATATATGCCATAAACACCATCTGTGTTTCGTGTTCGGGAACACAATCTGAATTGCGTTCTGCATGGCCCGGTCTTGATCAGTAATAATCCCAGTAGGAGCTTGGCCGTGCATACACTGAAGCCAAGTCTTGAAAAGCCATACAAATGTTTCTGTAGTCTCATTCGACACCAACCCACAACCAAAGAGTATTGACTGTCCATGATGATTAACTCCAACAAAAGGAGCAAATGGCATGTCGTACTTATTAGTTAGGTACGTCGTATCAAACGTGACAACATCACCGAACTCCGTATATGCTTGCCTACTCCTATTATCTGCCCAGAAAATATTCTTTAGCCGCAACTCTTCGTCTAAATCCATGCTGAAGAAAAAACCTGAGCACTTTAATTGCATGTTTGAAAAATAGGCTTGTATTGCTGCGGCATCTCCTTCTCCAAGTCTTAACCGCCTCACTTGTTCAACATAATTACGACAATCTTTTTCAATGCAAGTCATCTTCTCGTATCCCCCTGCCTCTACGACTGCGGAGTTGTAACTCTTGTGCAACGGAATCCCTGCCATATCGTTTACTTCAAGCCGACGTTTCACATGGGCACTCAATTCTCGGTTGCAACGATACAACCTCGACTTCGAAGGACTTGTGGTATGATTGTGATTGAGAATGACCGTGTTAATTTTCCAGATTCCATATGCATCTGCAGATGCCGTGATCCTAGCTTTGCAACCTGTCTGAATAGTAGTTTGCGGCTTCAAAGAGCTAGTACTACGACTCCTTCCACCTTCACGACTACATGTAAACACAACATATCTCACAATTCCATCATCGTCCTTTTGTGAATTTCTTTTCCTAACTGGAAATCCTACGTCGTAGGCATATCTCTTGTAGAAATTATACAATTCCTTTTCATTGTCGAACTTCATACCCACATCGGGCACAATCACACCGTCTTCTCCTACAATTCCATCATCCATGAAGTTCGCACTATCCAGAATGTTGTCATTATTGGACTCTAATAGAATGACATCATCCATCTCCTCCGAATTCGCCTTGCCCGCAGTAAAAGATAAAAAACCAATTGCAAGGTTAATTCTCTCTTCCTCCATACTCGATAAATTCTTAACACAGGCTTGAAGAAGGCTAACAGTTATCATTTTAGTCAAAAAGATGGGCATGAACATCTTCTGTGAAACAAACAATTTTATCACCCTTGAAGCATTTCGAAAGAGAATCAACAAATTGAATGGGTATATTAGTAGGTAACTTGATATTGTACTTCATTCCCTCTGCCTCACAGTGCAGTAAAATTGAAAAAAGACTTCAACATTTTCACACAACAACGAGGTAAAAAACGAGGTCACAAGAAATCCATCAAAGGATATACCTTTTTCCGTCATTTTGGTCGCCTAACCGAAGCCGGCCATATTTTTTTCAAGCAGGAAGCAGGACCAACTCTTCAAGCAGGAAGCAAGAACAATTTTTGGTGCCGATTTCAGTGTTATCGCGAGCTCCAATCTCTTTAATCACAGTAAACTCGTTTAGGATTACTGAAAGCAACGAGGCCGACGGTCAGTTCAAGTTGGTGGTTTCGCGAGCTCCAATTTTTGGTGGTTTCGTGAGCTCTGCTTCTCATCGGTCAGTTCAATTTTCTACAGGTTTCGCGAGCTCAGCTTCTAGACGGTCAGTTCAATTTTTGGTGGTTTCTAAACGGCCAGAATTTTTGGTGGCTTCGCGGGATTACTGAAAGCAACGAGGCCGACGGTCAGTTCAAGTTGGTGGTTTCGCGCTTCTCATCGGTCAGTTCAATTTGGTGGTTGTTGCGAGCTCTTCTTCTAGACGGTCAGTTCAATTTTTGGTGGTTTCCAGAATTTTTGGTGGCTTCGCGAGCTCCGTCTGGGCGTTCATCTCTTCTCATGAGCAATCCCCGCCTTTTCCTCCGTCCTTCTCTTATTGCCCGCCCTTTTGTCTTTGAAATTTGTCTTTTTTTTTAATGGCCTTTCCACGTCACAGTGTAACTGAACAGGTAAGCTTAAGGGTACAAATAGCTTTATTCAAAATTATAAGATCAAAATTTAAGCCAACTTCAAAGGTAAATAATGGTTTTTATCGATGAGTACTTATGAACTACTAGTGTTCTTGTCAAAGGAGATCCTCTACCCCTTTATGAAGTTCTTGGCCCCCTTCTTAGAGGAAAGTATGAGCATGTATCTTTCTCATTTATGTCTTGTCAACAACAGTGCCGAGCTAGGAACCTGTGTCAATGGCTTAAGTCTTGATTGGTTGTTTTCAAATCAACATACAATACGGAATTGAAAAAGTACACCAATGGTATATTCCTATTGGTTGCAGGTCGGCTCCGTCAGACAATTATGAAGTTGACCTTAAATGGGGTTCCCAATAATTAATTAATTGATTAGAGAACAAAGTTATAACATGTGAATGGTGGAATTGGTGGGACGTAATTCCTTTTGAATGTCATTAATTGATTGAATGTTTTGACAATGTGTAAGTAGTCATAAGTACGAACCAACCTTACAAATTCGACATTAATTTATCGTGAGCCAAGTACATATAATAAACGGTCTTAATTAGGATGTTGGTCGGATGTCAACAAGCAGCATTACTCAACTATATATAGTACGCAAATGGGAGTTCCATGAACTATTATCATTATTACGTGAAAAGTTTATTTTGAAAAATTAGATAATTCAGGACTAAAATGAAAAGGTAAATAAGTTTAGCCAATGTTAAGCTCATTAATTAAATTTTTTTTTTCAAACTCATTTTCAATCACACATTCTCTCAATAAAATAAATTTGTACGTAAACTCTATTTTTCCTACTTTTGAATTACAAATTCTTCTAAAATTTTCTTTTCACAAAATTAATTCCAAAATAATGGCTCAAACAGGGCTGAT